TTCTTTATACCGACGATTTAATAATAGCAAGTATTTCAAAGATTTCTAATTCAGCGTCGTACGTGTACGTATATGCTACCACACTGATAAATACATCGCGCCCGACGTCGTTTTGTGTGCTCACCCCGTCGGCTCATCATCGGTTTGCGTTTGTGCGGTTGTCACGGGGGGAGAGAGAGAGAGAGATCCAAATGTTGAAAACGGACGGACACTCGTCCTGCCCACCGCACTCGCTTCCACTCTGCGAAGTCAAGCTCTTCTCGAATCTCTCTCCGTGATCATCCGAAGGGACTGTCCGCCAGCTTCGCTTCTTCTTGCAGCTGCAAGACCCGCGCGATGTGAGTTCCGTTCTTTGTAACCCCCTTTTGGTTCCGCTACCTATCTCGTTCCTGCGTTACTTCTTCTTGCTCTTGTTCTTGTTCTTCTCCTCTCTTTTTTCTGCCGTTTTTAGGCGTTCCGGATCACGTTGCGACATCCCTTTTCGTTTGGTTTTGCTGGGTCATTAGTCCGTTTTTTTTTTGGTCGAACGTTGGGTCATTTGTTAGTCAAGAACCAGTATTTTCTTCCTTTTCAAGAGATTATTGGCTTCGCTGTTTTGTTTCTTTTTTTGGGATTGTGTTTGCGAACGTGATCAGTTGAGGAGGTGGTCGTGCGTTCTCCGAAACTGGAGTTTTGGGATCTGCCCAGTTGAAGTTGAAATACGTACGTCTTTATCGGGTCGTGATTTTTCACGTTGACAGCTTCTGCGTCACATGCATTGGTAGTTGTTTCGTTTGGGCCGTAGATGCGGCGGCGGCGGTTCAAATTGTGCATGTCTTGACTTACTCCATAATGTTACCAAGGTACTAAGTCGTGATTGATGTCCGTCGTTGTTTTCCAATAGGTGAATTTCAATGCGAAGTGGGTATTAGTTCGAGTAGCATCCGATGTATGTGTCTAGAGTAATTGTTCTTAGTGGAATCTTTCTTCCACTAAGTTGGGGCCCCTGTGTCTATGCTGAATACATAGCATCACTTATTTGGAACAGGGGTGATCTATTGCTTCGGGATCTCTCTCTTCCGTGGCTAGGTTTATCATCAGATTCGTGCGAGGAAGTTTTTTTTCATTTAAAAAATGTGAATGTGATTTGTGTGCTTTTCAATTGGCAGTTTAGTGCAGGTATTGTTGGATTTTGTACCTTAAAGTAAGTAAATGAATGTTCCATTTTTGAACAGGAATTAGCTAAATTTGGAGGAGAAACTTCCTTATTGTGAGAACAACCTGCGCATATCTGCATATAAATGGCTACTCTTCATCCATCACTTGTAACTAGGCTATGCTGTCTAAACTGTGGAGCAACCGAAGTATCCAAGTTGGCTTCATCATCCAGTTCTCTCACAAGAAGCAAGATGTCGCGTACGTTCGATGGAATGGCTATTGGCATGAAGCAGTTATACCCAGGTTTCATGTCTGATGTCATGAGGACTCCTTCTCAGAATGTTAGCTTGAAAGTATGTGCTGCACATGTTTCAATCGAACCAACTGAGCAGACGTTCACTCTTACCACAGAGGTCGGCAAACTAGAGAGGGAGTCCACTTATCTATTCAGGACAGAAACTGGTGAACAAGTGAAGGTTTCTGTTGGAAAGAAAAACTTGAAATATGCCGTGTATATTGAGGTTTCATTGCTGCAATCGCATGGCAGTAGCAATAGATTACTAATGTCCTGGGGTGTCTATAGATCAGATTCTAGATGCTACATGACAGAGGACTTTCAGCACTCATCTCCTGATGGGAGGGCATTCGAGACGCTGTTCAATCAAATTTCTCTTGGCACATACACACTCGAACTGGAATTTGAAGCAAAGCAAATCCCCTTCTTTCTTTCATTTCTTTTGAAGCCTGCCTTGGAGGCTAACTCAAGTGGTTCAGAAATTAGAAGTCACAGGGGAACAAAATTTTGTGTTCCAGTTGGTTTAGGTCGAGGTAACCCATTTCCGTTGGGTCTCTCCTTTGCAACTGATGGTTCGCTGAATATTTCTATCTTTTCTAGAAATGCAGGAGGTCTGGTTCTGTGCTTATATGGTGACGTTTCAGCAGAATCGCCTGCTTTAGAGCTTGATCTGGATCCATATGTTAATCGATCAGGTGATATTTGGCATGTGTCACTGGAAAGTGCCGAGACTTATGAGAGCTATGCTTTCCGGTGCGGGGGAGAAAGTATAGATCAGTTTGAATCAGCCCGCACATTTCTGGATCCATATTCCAAGATTATTATGAAGTCAAGAATTGAGGATAAAGGATCTACTAGTGTAAATTACCGTGGACTGTTGACGAAGGAACCCACTTTTGATTGGTCTGGTGATGTCCATCCCAACCTACCACTAGAACAGTTGACAATTTATAGCTTGAATGTGAAGCGCTTTACGGAGCACAAGTCTAGTCAACTATCTGCTGATATTGCTGGGACATTTTCTGGTTTAGCTCAGAAGCTGGATCATCTTAAAGATCTTGGGGTGAATGCAGTTCTTTTAGAGCCAACTTTCTCATATGACGAGGAAAAGGGACCACATTTTCCTTGCCACTTCTTTTCCCCGGCGAGTCTGTTTGGGCCTTCCAATAACCCCATTTCCACAATTAAATCAATGAAGGATATGGTGAAGAGATTGCATATGAATGGAATAGAGGTTTTTCTTGAAGTAGTCTTCACCCATACGGCTGATGCTGGAGCATTGCAAGGTATTGATGATGTGTCCTATTATGTGAATGGATTGGTAGAATTGAAACAGGGGAATGCTCTGAATTGTAACTATCCGATTGTTCAGCAGATGATCCTCGATAGTCTTCGGCACTGGGTGACTGAATTTCATGTTGATGGCTTCTGTTTTATCAACGCTTCATCTTTGTTGAGAGGATTTCATGGAGAATCCTTATCTCGGCCTCCTTTGGTTGAGGCAATTGCTTTTGATCCAGTACTCTCAAGGACAAAAGTCATTGCGGATTGCTGGGATCCCATCAACAAAGCGCCAAAGGATGTCCAATTTCCTCATTGGAAGAGATGGGCAGAAGTGAACACAAAATTCTCCACTGATATAAGAAACTTTTTGAGAGGTGAGGGGCTCTTGAGTGACCTCGCGACGAGATTGTGCGGGAGTGGAGACATATTTTCTGATGGTCGAGGCCCCTCATATTCTTTCAATTACGTTTCTCGCAATTTTGGCCTTCCAATTGTTGATTTAGTCAGCTTCAGCAGTGGTCAGCTCGCAGCAGAGTTGAGTTGGAATTGTGGTGAGGAAGGTCCAACTAATAAAGTTGCTGTCCTTGAAAGAAGGCTCAAACAAATCCGTAACTTCCTCTTCATCTTGTACATTTCCTTGGGTGTCCCTATTCTTAACATGGGTGATGAGTGCGGCCAATCTACTGGAGGTTCCCCTGCTTATGTCGACAGAAAGTCCTATGACTGGAACGCCCTAAAAACGGGTTTTGGAATCCAGACGACACAATTCATTTCCTTCTTGAATTCATTTAGAAAGAGACGAGCTGACCTACTTCAGAAGCGTAATTTTTTTAAAGAAGAGAATATTGATTGGCATGGAAGTAATCAGTCTCCTCCAAAGTGGGAGGATCCGTCATGTAAGTTCCTTGCCATGACCTTGAAGACAGAAAAAGCAGAAAGCCAGTCAAGCTCTAGAACATCTCATGAGCTCGGCGATTTGTTTATCACGTTTAACGCCGCTGATATTTCAGAGAGTGTCATTCTACCCGTTCCTCCAGAGGGCATGACCTGGCGTCGCGTGATTGACACTGCTTTACCGTATCCAGGGTTCTTCTCAGCTGATGGAGAGCCTATGCTCGAGCAGATGGTAGGACTGTTTGCTTATGAAATCAAGTCTCACAGTTGCGCTCTATTCGAATCACGCAGCCAAGGTGGTTGACATCTTCCTCTCGCTTGTCATTTTTGTATTTGAGATAGACAAATCCTTTCTTTGTACATTTAGACCATAAATGATCAAAGTACAAGTACATTGTACAATAGAGGAATCCTTCCATGGGCAGTTGTTACCACATTAATGTATAAAATCAACTCAATAATCACTCTTATTTCAGTAAAGATGGCTCTTATTAAGACTTGATCTCTTGGTGTATTCCTTAATTGAGACACAGATCGTTTGAAATTTCGAGGAGGTACTTGCTCTTCCTCCACTGGGCCATATCTGGAATCGCTAAAATATTCTTGCGTGGCAACCTATTCCTTTAAAAGATGTCATAGGTTGCTGAACATAAGATGACTCTAGGGGGCATGTTTCTTGCCATAGAAAGAGGCCGTACGAAAGAAAAACTACAAAAAAAAGCCCTAAACATGTAATATTGGTATCAATTCAGTTCATCCAATCAATTTAAGCCGAAAAATTAGTCGGATTGACTAAATTGGTACCAATGTAAAAAGGTTTAAAATGTTTAAAACTAAATTGGTTTAATTGAAATGTTTAGGATTGAATTGGTACCAATATAATAGATTTAAAACTTTTTTGGTAACTTTCCCTCCACATGAACTATTTCCACGAGGAATGTTTCAAGTTAGACTCATGAAACCGACACTGTTTTTCTTGGATATGTTAACTAGAAGTTCTAAAACTTGTTACAAATGTGTAATTGAATCTTAAAACTTGTAAAAGTGTAATCGAGTACAAAATTTATCAAATTGGTTTAATCAAGTCTTAAAGTTAACACCGTCTAATTTACTTTAAAAATGAGCGAACGTTTTCAAGAGCACTAAAGCTTGGAATTAGATATACGAGCAAAGGACGCGATAGAAAGGACAGACCAATGGAGGAGGTGCGCTTGGGGCCGAATCGCGAGATGGGAAAGCTCGAGGTTGAGGGACGAGATGGTGGAGGAGGCGCACATGTAAGCAGCAGAACCGCATTTGCCTCCATTGTCATTCAATCGATTCCTCGAATCAAAGTGAGAGAGAGAGAGAGAGAGAGAGAGAGAGAGAGAGAGAGAGAGGCGGGGGAAAGAGGGGTTAAGTGAGGTTTTTTGGTACCTTTCCTTGGATTGTCAGACAGTGGAAAGTAGCCTATCGCAAGGAATACCATACACAGCTTCATAAAAGAAAATTATGAGTCACTTATATACAGAGCCATAACCATCCTAACCAATACAAAAACCGTAAAACACAACTCATACTGAGATCCAATATGAGTACGGTTGATGATTAATTGACTCAAGGGACATCACTGGTGTGGCTGCTCAAGAGAAGCCAATTACTCAGCATCAGTGTCGAGTTCCTCAATATACTTGGGGTTAGCGCTGCATCGTCTTGTAACTGGGGAAGTAGGCTATACAGATTTAGTTACCATTTCAAATTGATTGCCACATCAAGCAGAGCTTCTACATGGTGTATTGTTTGTTGCTTCTCCTGCTGCTTCAACCTACTTGCAACAGATTCAGGGTCCAACCCTGGAGCATCTTGCCATTCACTTTGTTCAAGACGGACCTCTTGTAGCAGTTCAGCAACCTCTCTAACAAAATCTACCCTCAAAAGAGCATCATCTTCAAATGAGGGTCGAAGTGGCCCTTGATGCTGCACAATACAATTACTACAACCTTTAAAGAAAAGCATCATCCATGAACACATCAATTGACACGAGCAGGATTAGCAAGTTCTAATTCGCTGAATTTAGCCCAAAAAGGAAGTGCTAATTCGATGAATCACCATGCAGTCCATAACAAAAGCGTACCTTATCCATGTCAAGTCCAGCTGGAACCAAAATGCTAAATGGATCCTCCCTTGGAAAGGTATCCACCATCAGCTTTCTACATACCTTCAGCCATCCTTCATTATCAAAACCATCATGCATATTCAAAAGCTCGTTGAGCAGTCTCATGGCAGGAGAGGCCTCTCGTTTCAAAATTTCAGTCTAAAATGTAGAGAATTTAGACCTTGTAAGTTTCTTAGGTCAAAGCATCAGTAAACACATACGTTCATTTTGGAGTATAGAGAGACTTGGAAAACATGAACAACTCATTTCAAGAGAAGAAACCTCAGATTAATAAAGCAAACTCATTCCAGAAATTTCAGCCAAAATCAAGAGCTTTTTACTTTTCAAAGCTACATGGCTCAACGGTCTCACAAGTGATATTTGGTCTCCCAAAGTTATCTTTGGTTACACTTAAACCAATCAACATGGATGAGATGGTCTACATGACAATGCCAAATTGAATAAGAGGGGGTTGGAGAAGCTGAGCTGCTTTCTTATAGCAAGAAAATACTGCTATGAGAGTGTTACTATGAGCAATTCTGTGCCAATATATCAATGACAGCAAGAGCTTTGAATAATTATTTATCATTCCGTTGGAACACAAGTTGCCATTTCAAATAGCTTATGGCGTACCCCTTTCTCCTAATTACTCAACCAAATATGGAACTGACATCAACTAAGTACAGTAAATGGAGCATACCTCAACCCTCCTGTATAAGAGGTCAAGACTTCTAACTGCATCCTTTTCATCCTAAAAAAACAAAAAAATCACTGAGACATTAATAAGGAGAAAGATATCGCACTGAAAAGGCCAATCTAAACCAGCTAAACAACTTCCCAACCTGTTCCCCAATCCCCACCCGACTTTCCCACCCACCTGCTTCACCATCCCTTAATACATGTCATTTATATATTGTGAAGATGCAAACTTACATCACGTCTAGCAAGATCAAGCCGATTCCAGATAACCATTAAGACAAGTTCTGTCAGTTCTCCTCTCTCGGCAGCTTCCTCGATTTTCTGAAGACAGGTGATAAGACTAGTCAGTATTCAGGCATGCTTTAATCACAGATCTACAACTCCAGCTAACATTACCATTTACTAGCAGCAACAATGAAAGATGCAAAATAATGGAGGAAATGGGTTGCACAGAAGAAATTGAAGAGAGAGCAAATTTATGGAATTACTAAGGCTAAATGACTATACCAAGAATTGAAGAACTCAGCAAAACGTTTTTAATGGTAGATAAGACTAATTTCCATGCATCATCAAAAAGGCTACCGGGAACTAGCATGGCTACGGTTAAGTTGCTTGGCCGTCATTATTTAACTCTATTCCACACTACAACGGCTTTTCTCACAATGAACAGAACAAAAGCATCCTGATAAAACTTCTAACTTGGTTATGATGCGGCCTTGGCCGTACATCTGCTCAAAACAGTGTGTTATAGTTCCGAGGAATGTTCTACACAAACTAGCAAGTAGGCTTGGATAAAAAATAACTATCCATGTGATTCATGCTTATAATCGTCCAGAGTCTTCAGAAAAAATAACAAACACCAAGAGAATACCAAAGCACCTCTTCAATTTCTTCGTCCGATCTGATAAAGCTTGATACTAATTTCCTGGCATTTCGAACATCTTCTTCAGGATAACCTTTCAATCTCATTCCAATTTCACGATATGCCTCAACCTTTCTTTCTTCTTCTTCGTCTTCCTCCTGTCGCCTACGATGCAGCTCCTTCGTCTTCTCTCTTTGACGAGCCTGCCATTCCTGGTGGCACAAAGAAAAACCTTTACAGATTTTAAGAAAGAGTAAAAGATGGCCGATAGCAACATGTTTCCAGTTGCTCCTAGATAACTAACCTGCTATCCATTTAATAAAGCAATGGCTTATAAAGAAATCAGAAAATAGGATGTATCACCTATTCCTTGACGAGATTTCATCAGCACATCGATTTACAAGCACATGAACGTGTAATAGAACTTGATTGTTAGAATAGTTCAACCAACTGATTCTGGATGACAGTCTGAGCTTATCCTGTACCATCACACAGAAAGCTCTTGGTCCGGCATGACTCCAGCATGCCTGGCTACACGATTCTAGACCTACAACATCAGAATCACTTGCACTTGTGATTCCGAGCTTTGCAGTGCCTGTCATTATGACCTAATATTATTTACATCCTATCATCTATATTAGGTTGCAAGAACTCAAACCTCCAACGCCATGCTAAGTGAAAATTACTCTCTGTTCACCGCACATCGATGCCCCCTCTATTTACAAGGTCCTTTGACCCTCAAGAACTCCCTTTCACAAGTTCCATGTTTTATGGTCTTCAAGATTATGCCTCAGTCATTTTAGAGAGAAAAATCGCACCTTTCTATGAATTCCATAAAGGAAGAACAGAGAATTTTAATTCTGAGGAGGAACCCTTCACTTATGCCAACTATTTCAGGTCAAAATGATTACAAGGCCACGGTTCCAAATGTCAAATAGTCAACTATCTTTGCAACAAGATCATAATAGATTAGCTCAACAGCTTCCCAATCATCACTTTGGATACACAATTCACTCATGCCGGACTTCAAGTAGACGGAAAAGCCGGCAAAACTCATCCCAACAGACACCCAACAATCAAAACGCCACGACAAATCTACGAAGGAGGAATAGCAAGAGACAAGATGGGGGGGCAACACACGCACATCGTCGTAGTACTCCTTGGGAAGCCCATCGATAAGAACCTCGTCTTTGCTCCCCAAGCACTTCCTCAAAACTGCCCATCAAAACCCAGAACGGAGAACAAAAAACTTCAGAAATGAGCGGACGTTTTCAAGAGCACTGAGCCTCGGAGTTGGATATACGAGCGAAGGACGAAGTAGGACAGACCTACGGAGGAGGCGAGCTTGGGGATGAATCGCGAGATGGGAAAGCTGGCGACCGAGGGAAGCGGCGGCAGACGAGGCGCACACGCAAGCAGCAGAACCGCATTTGCCTCCATTGTCGTTCAATCGATTCCTCCAATCTTTTAGTTATAGAGAGAGACAGAGAGGGGGGGAAAGAGGGGTTAAGTGAGGTTCTACCTTGGTTCATAGGATCTGAATTTTGATTTAACGTGCAATACAATTTATGAAGTTTTAATTTATTTGATATGATTCCTAAATTTTAATTTGACGTGCGATACGATCCATAACTTTTAATTTGTTTATTATCGTCACTAAATTTTTTGTGCACATTCAATTTAGTTTCTGAATTATATAAAAACGTTCAATGTAATCCTTCCATTAATTCAAGTTCGGAAACTGCATTGAACATTTTCGTATAGTTCATAGATTACATTGAATATGTACCGAAAGTCCAGTAGACACATTGTATAAATTAAAAATTTAGATATCACATTGAATATTAGGCTAAACTTCAGGGACTACATGGAACAAATTAAAAGTTTAGGGACTACGTTGCGCATTTGACCAAAATTCATGGACTGTTTATGTCATTATTCCTAAAAGAAAAACCGAATCATTCCGCATTTGGACCAACTCGCCATCCTCCAACATTCAATTTAGAGAGGGACTTCCAAAAATCCTCCCTCTCCACGCCTCCTACGTACAACCAGCATTCATTAACCACGTTTCCAAATCACCCACAACTTTACCAAGATCTACAGACCTAATCCCATTCCTAGGTTTTGACATGCGATCAACCTATTAACGATAGGAATAAAAATATTCTAAAAGAACAACGAGAGAGTTCGAATATCAAAGATTGGATGCACACGATATGTAACGAGGCTTGACGAATGGCCTGAGGGCGTTTTACCATTCAAATGTTCGAATACTGGACGGTGCAGAATGAAAACTGATGTAATGTAGGCTGGTTAAAAGAAGAATTTAATGACTCCTCCATTAATACAGGCGTTAAACTTTCGTCGCTCTGCCCCCCTATAAAAATGGTCGTTTCGAATATAAATGATAAGAAAATCACTTTCGATCAAGATTGTATCGGTGGGTGAGCTACAATAACAACGATCATCGAAGAATTTTATGATTTCAAAGATCTTTAGCTTGTGATTGCACGTAACCTCCCGCCAGCGAATTATGTCCATCGCCAAGCAAGTGGTCGTGGGAATGCTCGTGACCGTCATGCTGTTCGAGTTCGCGATGGCGAGAGCCCCAGAATCAAGCCCTCTCAAGCTCGAACGCAGGGCATTTGCTGAGAAACTGAAACGCGAATGCCGGGATTTATGTTGCGACATAAGCAAGTGCGGCGATGAAAACAAGCAGAGCAAGAAGTACGATAAGATATGTTATGACTCTTGTGACGCCTTCTGCGCTCTATATTGGTACAATCCGCAATTGTGGATCATTTTGCTTAAATAAAGAAGCCCGAGGCCAATAACTATGGAGATTATTGTAGCGCACTCGTATAATTTGTCATTGTGCATACTTTCTTTTGTTTGTTCTTCCACGGTTGATCGGACGAAATAATAATATTGTTTTGTATCAAGTGCGTGCACATATTCAATTTCATATACCAATAAGTGCGAACAAACTCCATGTTTGAGTTATTGACCAATGCTTGCTTTGCATCTTATATGATCCATGAGGTTGGGGTCGTATTTCGTATACACGAGTTTGCCTATACACGAAGGCTCTCTCATCATAATATATATAGCAATTCAAAAGCAAAACATTCAAAGAAAGGACCATCACGGTAAAAAATAAAAGGTTCCAATGATCAATATGATAGTTTACCTACTCCAATGCTAAAAATGAAATCCTACTCTCTCTCTCTCTCTCTCTCTCTCTCTCTCTCTCTCTCTCTCTCTCTCTCTCTCTCTCTCTCGGGTGACCTCAAATTCACCTCGATCTTTGGTCGTAGGTGGTGCACAACCTATCAAGGTTGACCTCGCTTCACCTCGTATATGGGTGTTGGTGGTGCATCAATTTGATAAGTTTTAAGAATCGATTATAATTTTTGAAAGTCTTATGATTCAATTGAACTTTTGCGATAAATTTTAGGACCTATGATGGACTTATACCTAAATATAATTTATCCACGTTTAGACCGAAATGAATAAAAATAAGTGCACCGTCGTATAAGGTACAAAGACACTAGGTATATTGATTTCACCTATACAATTCACAAGCCTTTTTTTGACAAATCCTATTGAAGCGTGATTTCTCATTTAATATGTCTGTGGCTTCAAGTATTTTACAGGCGACTATCATTGAGATCTATCCTGAAAAACAACGGATCCAAAGAATTGAAAAATGCAATTGTTAGATTCAATTTATTGGCATAAAGGTGTTGTAATGCAAGATACGTGCAACTTGAATTGCACTGAATGTATTCCAATAACTACAACATAATTATCCAATGGGATCAAAAAGGGACGACTGCCACATCTAGTAAAAGATTAGTTAGATCGTAGTCCATTGCTAACTAAGATCAGACGATGCCGCGATTTTAGAAAAACGAGAACATAAATCACAATTCTTTGTGTCTCTCTTTTCATTTATTTGGCCCGACTACTTCTTTTCTCTCTGTGCTTGCAGCGTATCTAATGAAAAAGAAAAACATATGTTCATGGTCATTATTTTTAAGTTTTTTGATTTACTTCACTATTAAGTCTATATTGCTATAATCGTGACTAATCATTTGGTTTTCCTTATACTTTGTCCCCGAATATGTCAATCCTAAGTTTGTGTCTGATTATATGGGTGATGTTTTTCTTTATTCGGACTTTAATTGGTGGATTATGCAAATGGACATAACTCATCTTTGTCTTTGGTCAAGTATAAATGTGGGAGATATCCTCCTAGTTAGTCCACATCAATCAAGAGGCTAGTTGAAACAAAATTTCTAAAGCCAGCCAGAGCAAAATACTTTACCAATTGAATCACAGGTTTTTAGGTAACATTCAAGATATGACACCCATAAACGAAGAAAACATCGATGGTATTTGAATAGTGAATATGCTTCCAGAATTGAATAACTAGAAATGACACGAGATATTACTTTATGTCACATGATATTTTACGGTTGTAATTAGATCAACATTTTCAAAAATCCCACAAGGCTGCAGATTTTGCATCACTTCGTATACTTAGGCAACGGCCTGTGAGCTAAAAAGTGTTCGAACATGTTGAGCGCTTGAGCAGGCGCGTACATGGGGACTTCGTGACCGCAGCCTCTGATTGTCGCAAAGGTCAACCCTTCGTATAACTCGGACCAGCCACTAATCTAACATCGTATCAATCGACATTGATCGTAAGCAAAGGAAATAGTTATTCAAGCTGATTTAGTTAATATGGGAGAACATTAAAGCAGTGAACAGATTACCTTCTTATTATGGCCCCAAGGATACCATTTTGCACTTCTCTTGAGGTGCAGCTTGGAAATAGCGGTCCTAGTGGCCATGAAAGGAATTGCTGAATCTGCATCTCCACTGATTAAAAAGAACAAAGAAAAAGATATTCAGGTTGAATAGATAACTGCTTTATCTGCAGAAGACACTATGCAGCAAAACATTATTTTCATATTTTTTGACTTTCTTCTACTTCCAAATAGTTTCACCATCTTAAAATGAACAAAAGCTGTGAGGCACAACTTCCCTAGAGGCTTCACCTGCTTCATTAGTGACGGAGAACAGAAGGAAACGACTCAGCCATAAAAATGATAAGAAGAAAAGTTCGTAGCTAGTACTTGAAACTGGTATACACGTGATAAATTAGTCACGGTATACACGTGATAAATTTACGTGATAAATTTAGTTTGTAGCGCACTCGTACTTATCCTTAAAATTAGTTTGTAGCGCACTCGTATTTGAAACTGGTATACACGTGATAAATTTATCCTTAACTAATTTTTTGACCACAAAAAACTCCAAACTAGTACATCCGTGACAAATTTACCCTCCGTTAATTTCCGTAAAATTTTACTGTCATTGCTTAGTTAAATAGCACGTGATAGTTGACGGATGTACCAGTTTGGGGTTTTACCCTCCGTTTGTCACATGTGTACTAATTTGTGTTTTTTTTTTTGTATTAATCCAATTTAATGAAGAATAAATTTGTAAATTTTTCACATGTATAATAATTTAGGATTTTTGGTGGTCAAAAAGCTAGTTTGATATAAATTTATCACAAATATATCAGTTTGAGATTTTTCATAATATAAACCCTAAAAATAAAAGAGGTCAGGCACGCCTCCATTCTACTATTCTCCTCAGTGCATTGATGCGCAATGGAGGCACGTACCTGAACCGAGGGGGAAAAGGCGGTCACAATCATCCTAGAGTTCATCGAATAGGGGTTGTTGGGCTTCTACGAGCTAACTGCATGCCTCGCGAAGGATTGAGAAACTTGAACATCATGGTCCAAGTCATGCAGCCTTCAAGAAAGCCTCTCCTTCTCTAGCTCCAATTCAGCATTGCTCCTCCTGCCTCCATACGGGGCATCGAGAGCAATCAGCTTACTTGCTAGGCTCTCCCTCGCAAAGACCAGCCTAGCGTGTGCTTTCTCAGGCAGTCCAAAAATTTTACGATGGCCCTTGAGGACCATACGAGCATGGTAGGCCTGTTCTTTCTTGTCCCAATAGTCTGCTTCAAAGGAATGGAAAGAGTCAATCTTGGCCCTGTTAGCCCTGAAGACCTCCAGACCATAATCGAACACCACAGTGAGCTCTTCATAGTCCCCCCCAAAACGCATGATTTTCGGGAGACCAATCGGCTCGGCGTCTTGCAGCGATATCTCCTCCTCGACCTCAGGGTTAGAGATAATAAAGGGATATTTGAGGGAAAGGAGTTCGAGCAACCTCTTCTAGTTTGATATAAACTCGTCGGCAAAAAGGGGATCGAAGGTAGCAGATTGGGAAGGAGAAGAAGCCGTGACTGAAAGGTGATCGCGTGTCTGGAGAGAAGTTACGAAGGATTTGTGGTGATGAGGAGAATGCAACTTAGGCTCGTCCGAGGTCGAGTGGCTGGCTTCGGACTAACGAGGAAGACGAAGTCAAACAGAACAATTCCACATCACAAAGAAATTTCACGTTAATTTTTTTTTAATTTAATTCAGGACAAGTGTAAATTTTTAAGTGGATGCACAGGAAAAAATGCTCACCACGTCAACAGCTAACGTGGCGTTTTGAAATCACTTAATATTACCCATCATTAATTGGGCTTTCCACTTTTAGACCCAAGTTCTCCCTGACATAGCAAGCAACCAATCTTGTGTGTTTCGATTCAAATGTAATATGCCTAATATACTTTCCCCATCATTGGACGCTAACACCTTCTATAACTAGATCAAGACTTTGTACGTTAATCGAATTCGCATCGCAAATTCAGCCTTCGTCTTACAATTAAGACCTGGTTTGCTTGCGATACAACCAACTAGGCTAGTAAATTAACTTTTGACGTGGAAGTTATGTAGAACATTACCCAGCAACCGATGCCTGCCTGGTGTAGACGATGCTCGAGGACTCTACATTCACGTTCTGCGTCGTTCGTCGTCATCCATTTAGGCTAGTGAAATCATTGAAAAGAGGAGTCTTTTTTTGTTTCCCTTTCTGGTAGAAGTGAAAGATACGTTCTAACCTGGAAATGTCAACAAATCTGGCATATCCTTCCTGCTTACAAAGAAATTTCCGCCATGGCCACTGGCCAACTCATTAAAACTAGTTCCTCAGAAAAGAAAGATCCTTTGTTGGTTCAGGAACCAATTAACTGAAGGGAACAATCACCCCAGGCAATTGATATCTCAAGATTTTCCACAACAAGTCTCCTAATTCTCTGTCGCACTTGTTTTAGTTAACCAGTCATTACATTCGCATGGCGGATAACAAATCCTATCCGTTTAATTATTCGATTTACATCCAACTACCATGTTAATATTGTCCGTTCAACTTATAAGCTATAACTAGGTCACCAACATCAATGGCAGTCAGAACTCCATCGCGCACTAAAGAAAATTGTGCTGTACCGAACATTGTTAGACTTGGTTGGGGGAATGCAGGACAACCAGCAATCGGAAGTATGCTTTATTTCTTGGAGAAAGGGAACTAATCGAGAATTTGGAGGATACATTCCTACATTTTTTTTTTTGGGAAATGCTTATGCCATTTAATTGAATTCAAGTTACTAGTTATCTAAAAGAAGAAAATGAATCAAGTCACGATCAAACGAGCTTCCTGCGTTAGTTCAGAGTAGGGTGGAGACCAAAGAGAGAGACTACTAGACTGCTTATGCATATGTCTTGTCTTTACAAATCCAGAGTATGCTAACTGGAAAGTTGAGAAGAAAGAATAACACGACCTGGGAAAAAAAGGAAACAGAAAGTACAAGCAAATCCTCTCCGACCAAGCAGTCTCATTCTCGGGGAAACTACATGAAAACAGGACAATGCGAGTGTTCCCTATCTCCTGCTCATAGGCGAGAATGGGGGTTTGGACATTTCCTTTTGTCTTTGTAAAGCCAGCAAGGGCCATTGTAGTTGGATAGCTTATCGCATCTGTCGACTACTAGATGACAATCTTCCAAAGCTAATTGAGATAGAGAAGGCAAACTCACTAATGATCTGCAGAATAAAAATTCCATGGTCCTCAACTTCTTCAACTTCAAGAGATTAGGCAACCTTACTAGGGAATTGCACTGGCCAATCCTTATACTTTCCAACGATTCCAGTTTGACGAGACCTTGGATCTCAACTAGCTTCGGGCAGTTCAACAAGCGCAACACTCTGAGCTTCTTCAAGCCCGGCAAAGAGGACAACCGCACAAGAAATACGCAGTTCGACAGAATGAGTTCCCTCAGATTCTCCAATTGTCCAAAACTATTGAGTGGAATTTCCATCAGCCATGATTTACGTAGCTCTAAACTTGACAAATTTTTCAAGTACGAACTGCGCGAGAATTCAGCCAATGAGTTGAAGTTTATAAGCTTCAACATGGACAGCGTGGAAGGAAGCGGCTGAGTGAGGGATTGCAGGTCAAAACAAGACAGAACTAGTTGCTTCAGGCCAGGAAGGGAAGCAAGCTCGGTCGGTGGTGCAATGATGCTCTTATGAACCAGTTTCAGCGTCTCCAGTCTAGACAACCTCCCAACCCACTTAAGGTTTGGAGTTTGGATAGATTTGGCATCCCATGGGTTAGAAAGAGATTCCTCAATGTAGTCGGATACTATTAGATTGACTAAATTGGTAAGGTTTGAGAGGTTTGGGACTGTCTTTAGTGAGCGAGACTCGACATAGAGGTTAATCAAACTGGGGGGAAGCTCTGGGACTCGTTTAAGCTCATGGCAACCTTCCAAATGAAGTTCTTGGAGACGAGAAAGCTGGTTGATTGTTGTTGGCACAGATCGAATGCAAGTGTGAGACAAATTCAGGATTTTTAGTGAGGACAGACTACCAATTTCACTAGGAATATCTCCCTCCAAATTCACACATTTTTCGGCATGAAATTCTTCAAGCTTCTCCGCCATACCTATAGTTGATGGAATCTTGCTTATCTCACTATGATCTATCCTTATCACTTTCAACTTCCTTAGGTTTCCAATTGAATCGGGTAATTCTGTTACTTTCGTATATGACAAATCCAACTCAAATAGCGATTCCAATCCCCCAATTGAGTCTGGAAGCTTTCGTAGCACATAACATCGGGACAAGCACAAGCTTTGAAGATCCTTTAGCTCTCCAATTGAGTGAGGAAGTTTGCTAATTCCGACACTTTCCATCTCTAGCCTTGTCAAAGACTGTAGATTACCAATCGAGTGGGGAAGATACGAACCAACAGGACCATGTATTGTCCCTCTCACAATTAGCTCTTTCAAAGAATTTAGACAACCTACTTCTTTGGGCAACTCTCTCAGAGCTTTGCAATTATATACTTTCAAGCAACTCAGGCGTGTCAGCTTACCAATTGATTCGTCAATTTGATCCAAGCTTGGGCAATCTCGAAGAGTCAATCTTTCCAATGTCCTGATGGCAGAGAGATCGGGCAATCTAGTTAAGCGGCTGCATTCTCCAAGTTCCAGAAATTTCAACTCACATGATTTCTGTTGATGACCAAAATATCAGAAGGGGAGTGAGCAATTGCAGGCTTGTTCGATTAAACAATTAAAATAGAAGTAGATGCAAGTGTAACTCTTCGTACCGTGAATTGGTGCCATCCGGGCCAATCATCTCCAAGTTCACTACCAGAAAGCTTGAGAACGGCTAGATTTCTTGGAGAGAAATTGGTCGCACTAAAGTCTGCAGGACAATCATGCCAAGATAGCCATCTCAATTCTGGGAGAAGATTACCACAATCTCCAATGATGGTCACCCGCTTAAGACGAAGAAACCTTAGGTTTGGCAGAGAAGCAAGTTCTTGACTTGTGATCTTCTGTACCTCAGGGAATTGTAGCCAAAGTGATGTCACATTTCTCTTTCTCTGGTAATCAATCTAGCAAAGATAGCACGCATCAGTGAATTTTAACATCAAACAGAGAAGCTTGTGCATACAGAGAGCAGTAAACTCTTCTTATGACCAGAATTCTCTCAACTTTTTCACGAAGGAAATTGAAGTTTTATTAGATAAATAACTTTACCGGTTCACGAAGTATGCGAAGGCATTCCTCAGGTTCCCACCACCTGCTTTGACTTCCTGGATTCAGATGATTTTCCTCTCGAACAATTTCCATTCCAAAATCTCTGATCACATCATGCATCCTGAAAATATTGTGATGGTCTATCTTCAACAGAGACATATCAGCGAGAGTAGCAAGTCCGCTTTCAGGGAAATAACCAAAATCTTTCCACACATATATTGCGGATGTGCTCTCTAACCCGTTGAAAAAGCATGCAATGTCTAAGAAAATTTGCTTCTCCTCAATGCTTAATGCCTCGTAACTTATCCTTAACGTATCTTGGACTCTCCTATCAGGTACTTTCCTCAAACGCTCCAATGTTTCTGTCCATATCTCGAGGCTTTTGCTGCGGAGGAATGACCCCGAAGCTTCAAGGGCCAAAGGAATTCCTCCGGTAGTGGCCACAATATCACTGGAAAGAGTTTCGAGATCATCTGGAGGTAGGGTTTCTCCGAAGGCATGCTTACTGAAAAGTTGAAGAGCATGGCAAGGATTCATTGGCATCATCTCATAAGCATAATAACCTTTAGGAGGAAATGGGACGTTATTATGTTGTCCTATGTCTCCAGCTGGCGAAACACCCACATTCCTAGTTGTGACAATAATCCTGCTTCCAGGGCCAAGCCAGTCACTGATCCCCGTCAATTCCGTGAGCTGCTCTCTATTATCCACATCGTCAAGAATAATGAGGACCCTCTTGTTGCGAAATCTCTCTCGTATCATGTGGACACCATCGTCGACGTCATGGACATCTATGGACCTCTTCAGGATATCGGATAACAGCTGGTTCTGCAACTTTACGATGCCACCTATTTGTGAAGTTCCTGCAATGTCTGAAAGGAAGCTACAACCATCAAACAGAGGAGCGATCTCGTTGAAAACCACCTTGGCAAGAGTTGTCTTGCCGATTCCTCCCATCCCGTGCACAAGAAGAAATCGTACGCCCAGGGAGCCGCAGTCCAACAACTGCATCACGTCTTTGACTCGATCATCAATTCCAACTAAATGATCAGGTAGAACCTTTTGTCTCTTCTTCAGTTTAATAAAAACGTCTCGAACAAAATCTTTAATAAGTTTACCAAGCCTGCCATGCATAATAAATCATCATCCTCTAAGAAAAGAGGAGCAACTATATCAGTAGCAACTATATCAGCAATATACCAGCATATCTAGGACTTATAGAACATATTTTCAATCCTTCTTTGGCTGGAAACTCTCCCTACAGAATTTCTCTCTCTCACACAGGTATTGATGATGGTGATCCAACAAAGAATTTCTAACAAGACAAACCATTCAACTGAAGGTGTCGCAATTCATTAACCATCTCCCAAGTGATTTTGTCTTGTTTATACTTTATAGTTAGCAAAGTGAATCATTTGGCTCGATAAATACTTCCGTTTTTTTGAATCTCAGAAAGAGCACAAAACAGCAACACAGACTGAGACTAGCTCAAAGTTCATTTCTAACACAGCACATTCGTCCAAGACACCGAAGAAGCTTTAAAATGTATTCTACCAAACACCTTTCGATATCATTTCCACCGACCACGCTATGGAACCTAACTTTGCCAGTTAAAAATACCCCATCTAAGCATATTTCGGATTGTAATGAGTTGTAATGGCCATTGAAGTTTCTTCGTTTACTTACGGTGCGTTTCGTGCGTCCCATCCTTTGAGATCTGCGACCTCCATTAGAGCCTCCCTCCACTCTCGCACCGTCTCCTCGCCGTAACGCCCCTCGTGCCAAAGCAGGTCCTCGCCGTACGAACCCCTCTTGAGCCTGACGTCCGAAGGACTCACGCCGTAGAATACGGGCACGATTTCGTGCCCCGCGGATTCCCTCTGGCGCCTCACCATTCGCGCGAGCTCCTGGAGGCACCACGCGCTGGATGCGTAGCCTTCCGAGAAGATGGGCACATGGATCCTCGAGTCGTCGATCGCGCGCTTGAGCTCAGGCCCGATATTCCCGCCTTTGCGAAGCTCTTCATTGTCTCTGAAGACACTAATTCCAGCGTCGACTAAGCTTTCGTAGATGACATCTGCAACCGTGCGGCGAGTGTCGGGCCCTCGGAAGCTCAAGAACACGTCGTACTTGTAGCCCAACGTAGGCGCAACGTGCGCGGAAATCTTTGCCATCCGTGTCTGCGATTGCCTTGGGTTAGACGACATCGTGAACGAGGAAGAAGAAGCGGAGCAGACGAAACAGGAAAGGAAGAAGAAAAACAAATATCTCCTTCTCGTGTGGTTCTAGGAAGAACGAAAGGAAAAACTAGGCAACAGTGTTTGAAATGGAAGACAAGTTGAGTTTATTCTTCATGCGCGGTTCTTTGCATATATTTATACGAAGCCCCGTGCGCGAGCGACCACTTTCGCTGCATTGCCTCGGAAGTTTCTTTTCACGCGGAACGTAACGTGTTCTACAACAGATGGAGTGGGATGGCGATTACCAGGAAATCACCGAGACCATTTTCGATCCCGACGTTTCGGGCTCTCTTCCGTGACTTTCGACCACCGATCCGAAACCCGGAGCCAAGCCGAGGCCAAGTCGTCAGTCGCGAGCCATGGAAAAGGAAGTGGACATTACTTCTCCACGGCGATATGGATCATCATGGGCGATCAACTGAGAGTCTGACCATACTAGACCGGACAAGCATCGTGTGGCTCGTGCGTAAACAGCTAGCGGAAAATCCACAATTTTCTTGTAGGTCAACTTTAGCGAGCAGTAAGGGTAGACTTTCATATTTTGTTGTCTTGGTAACTGCTCTATAATGACCTTTATAGTTTTCAAGGTTCTGCTTCAGGATTTTTCCCTGATGGTTTACATTCACTTCTCACTAATCTGATATAAAATTTCTTTAACCAAAAACATGTTATGTTGTGGTGCTTAAATCGTTCCACCGTTATTTTTGCAAGTAAGGTGGCATGTCGATAAGTAGCCCTTTTTCTCTCCATTATAACTCGTGATCCACATGCCACCATTACCTCCAATGGTAACTGTGAGTAACGGTGACTGTTATGCTAGCATTGTTCACGAATCTGCAACTCCTCAATTGACATTTGATGTGTTATGGCTTCTCTGTTTAGAACCTAACGAAAAGGTTGTTACCGACACTTGGACCCAAACTCTATTCTTGGGCACAAAACCCCTACATTAGATTTAGAAATTCCGATATACTTCCCCGATCGGCTTTGAGGCTGCGAGATGACAAACGAAAGCTATCGCTGCTACGTGTTTGAATCATCTCCCATGCTTGGGTTCGAGCTAGGTAGAATATCAGTTTCTCGGATCTCTTCCTTTTCCCATTGCTTTGGAGTACCATCTTACTTTTTTACTTTTCGCAACTCCATAATCGCAAAGGACAAATGTGTTGCGTAGGCAACACAAATGACACTGTTCAGAAATAGTTTTTTTTTTCAATTTTTATTCCTTGAACGAGTTTCCGAGCGAGGAGATCCAAATTAAAACTGTAGTGCAGGCTCTTCCTTAATATGCAATGTCTATATTTAAGATTCCTATCTCTGTTAGTTAGTAAAGCTGTAGAACAGGAAATAACATTCTTCTATTGGAGGAAAAATGAGTTCAAATCAGGCATGCACCGGAAGAAATGGGAGGTTCTAAAGACAAGAAAAGACAAAGGCGGTCTAGGTTTCAGAGAGCTGATTACTTTTACAAGTTTACTAATAGCCACTTTCGGTGCCTTTACTCGGAAGTTTCATTCCCGCGCGGAACGTAACGGACGTGTTCTACGGCAGGTGGAGCGAAGATATAATTTCGTAGAAGTCGCCCATAAAGAGGTAAAAAGTTGGTGGAGGGTCTATAGAACAAGTGGAGCGAGATCATTTATGATATGTTCTGTTAATCATATGAATCCGAGTAAGATTCACTTGATGTTCATGTGGTTTAAAAAAGAGGACAGATGTTTTCGATGCAATGCAGCAAAATACTACCACGTCGCAGAAAAGGAAACATTCAAAAGAAAATAAGATTTCACTTATAGTGAACCAGAGTCTCGATATAGAAGAGCTATTGATTTCAGGACTTGAAATCTCTTCCAACTTTTGCATCCCCAACTTTGTCTTCATTTTACTCTTCAAGAATCAGATAAGGGGCCTTTCGAAGAACTGATCCGAGGTGTTTTTGGGTTGCTATTTTCCTGTTTTTGGGATCTTGTTTTGTTTATGCTTTTAGGCAGCTTGAGTAGAAAGGTGTGTTCATGGACTAAAGTTTTCAGGTGCTTCTTCTTTTCGGATTGCTGTCCGCGCTTGGCTATTTTTGGCCATATTTTTTTTCCGGTTTCTCCCCTCTTTTCAGAGTTCTATTGGGGTGAACTGAGTGTACATGCCTCTCTTTTTTAGCAGGCTTTTAGGACTTCAAATTACGGCATCATTATCTTACTCCTACTGAAAAAAACATCGAAGTGCATAATTTTAGTGGGATTTACTATTGGTCAAGTCAAATCCTGTTTATGAGGAGAAAGAATCCTTGCTACTTGTGAGGAAAAAAACAATGTCTTGACTTTGTGATACTTCATCGTGATATTCGACCAAAATAAAAGCCCATCATCCAAGTCCATGAAAAATCCATATATTAAATCGATAGATAAAGGACAACAAAACTATAGTTCAAAAGTACATTAAGTCTCTTAACGCTTTCTATATTTAGACTTGAATCAATCTCCGTAAGTTAATCCTTCATACTTACACAAAAATAAAAAGGTATAATTTCCCAAATCGACCAAATTTAAGGATATTGCTTTTTAACACACCAAGAGGAAAAATAAGAAAAATAGAAAAGAAATATCACCAATACGAAATTTTTATGCCGTAGGATTCAATCTTTTTTTTATCTCCGTCCCTCATTCGTATGACCTATTACCTAACAAGTAATGCTTTTTTTCGAACACTTCGCTCAATTGCTTTCTTGATCACCCCCGGATCGACGTCTCCTCTGACCTCCACCAATTGCTCTTCTATGTTCATGTCCACGTACTCCACTCCTGCTCATTCAATTAGAATTCTTCAATTAATGTTAAGAAAACACACCCAAAACTAAAGCAATTATGAAGCAATTACTCAATCATTGAGAGTTATGGGTATCACGACTAAATTAGGGCACAAGTTTAAAGAATCAACCCAATAAGTGAATCAATATATATGTACATGAATGTGCTATATATTGATTATGGTTGTTGGTTCCACTATGTGGTGGAGGGCAAAACTTTGACTTGCTGTTCTATGGTTGGGTTCAAATACGAAATAGATAGTAGCGTTACCTTGTATCTTGTCTAGTGACTTCCAAATCTTGTGCCGGCAACCTCGACAGCAATTGATACTCACATGGAAAACAAGAGACTGCATCAACATTATTGGATCACAAAAAGTTTGATTTTACTCGTGTAAAGTTCACATTGAAAGTAGCGATTGAAAGTATTACCGAAGACATTGAAACTGGGCGCAGAGCCTTGTAGATCTTAGGCAAGAAGGTGAAGCTCGAATGCATATGGCTTTGAAGAAAGACAAGTCTGGATTGCACTAATTCTAGAATTAAGTAATATATATATCAAACTCAACGAGAATATTCTATTTAGTGATAATAAGTTTTGACAAGGAAAGGAAATATTGCAGATGTCAAAGTTATTCATTGACTCCTTGATTTATCCTAAGAAATTCAATTTCAATCGAAATTACGGTGGAATGTCTGGTTTTTCATGGGAAATTAAGTAGGATTTCGTCAATCCAACAAGTCAACAAGTCTAGATTTGATTTTCCACTTTTGTTCTCAAGGAAGGATTCGATGTAATATGCCTTTAGATTTTCCTAGACGTTTCCTCGACAATTCCTGCCCAAGTTGCATTTGCTTTCCTTTTGTTTTTTTTTTTTATTTGCATAAGCGCTGCCGCCCTTATTATTCTAAATAGGGAAAATGCCATGAAAAATCTTAAAATTATGCTCAATACGACACCATTTCGCCAACCCTTTTTTTGTGTCACTGGAACTTGTACTGATGCGGCAATCTTATTACATGAAACCACGCTTGCAATATGAAAACACATGCAAATGCTTATTCCGCAGTGGGAGCTAATCCTAAACGACCTATTCCGATTGCGTCGACACTTATTTTTTTCATTTTCCTTCCGTCATTTGTATCACTTTCCAAGATGTTTATGAATTGCTGCCTTGATTACCTCCGGATCGACGTCTCCTTTGACCTCCACCAACTGCTCGTCTATGTTCATGTCCACGAGTCCCACTCCTGCTCATTCAAATAAGCCTTCTTCATCAATGCAATCCGCTGGGTGTTAACGAAACACACCCAGAATGAAAGGAATCATCAAGTAATGACTCGGTTAGCGGGCGAGTCTATTCGAATGGCGCGTGGCACGGGTTCGGTCCAATTACGATTGACATGTAGTAAGTATGGTTACCTTCCATCTTGTCTAGTATCTCCGTGAGCTTTCGCCGACACCTGTGACAGCAACCGATATTCACCCGAAAAACGAGCTGAATACGTCGACACCGTTAGATTAAGAAAAGATGATTCTATTCATATAAAGTTCACATTGGAAGTTGCAAATGAAAGTATTACCGAAGACATTGGAATTGGGTGCTGAGCCTTGTAAAATCTTTAGGTAAGGAAGTGAAGCTCAAAGAGAGACCGGCTTTATATATATATACCATTTAGTAATGGAAATGAGCCTTGAGAAGGAAAGGTAATCTTGCAGATGTAAAAATTTTCGCTGATTCCAACTAAATTCCTTCCATTTATTACAAAACGTTTCATTTCAATTGGAATTTCGGTGGATTACATGGTAAATGAAGTAAAGGCTTCATCAATTCAACAAGTCTACGAATCTGGATTTGACTTTCCATTGTCGTTCTTAAAGATCTCAATGTAATGCCTAATTTTCCTAGACTTAGATCTACTCCGTACGGACCGAACTCGTGCATGCGTATCTCGAGTTTCGACATTACCTTATATTTTAAGACATGGTTTCACCGATAATTAGGGAATGATCTTAGTAATAAATCAACCAAAGCTGTTTTCCATCGAATGGAAGTTTCTTCCAATCATGGCAAGTTATTTTTCTTCTTATATTTTTTTTTGCATTTTGTTGCCCAAGTTGCATATTCTTTCCTTTTTTTGTACTTGTGCTGGTATTAATCTTAATAGGCAAAATACCATAAAAAGTCCTTAATTATGTTCATTGTAACATCAATACCTCAATTTTTTTTTGTCACCAAAATTCTAAACTTTTATCAGTGCAACAAAATTATTTGTCCGCCATAAAAAAAAATCCTAAACTTCAAACTTTTTTCACCGATGCCCCAAACTTAGATCCGTAAGTTTGTAGCACTGCTACAGGGTTTTCATGACACAAAAAAATATTTGGGATATTGGTGTCACCGTGGCACGCGATCCGTGGGTATGATTTAAGATTTTTCATGACATGATAAAAAATCCAGGGTATTGGTATCACAGTAAACAAAGATTAAGGTTTTAGCTGTATTCATCCTTCTTGATAACATGGTACAAACACATGAATTGCCATATCATGTAATAAGGATCTCTAAATAAATTATTAATACGAGTAGCATTACTTACGGCATCAGATCCATTTTGTAATCTCCATTCGACTTTCACCAACTAAACTATATTCCACTCGACACCATGGCTTAATTGACAGTGGTTAGTGAATGTTGTGATTTACAGTTTGGGCAATAAATGAAATACTTGTCGGAATCATAATTTGAGAAACAAAATAGTATCTATTTTAGGCTCCTTTTATTTCGTGAAAAAAATGAATGATTTGAAAAATACATTCTTAAAAATAATCGCTCGTATCGCTTATAAAATTAAATGAACAAAAAAAAATTCATTATCTATAAAAATATTTAGACATAAATTATTATCGATAATTAATATTTTTCATTTTAATTATTGAAAGTAACTAATTTTAAAAAAAATTAAATTGTTTATTTTTCCCGAAACATTATTTGAACTCTCCGTTCTTCACGTTGTCAGCCGTGAAATTCTCGCAATTTAATGCCGGCCGTCGGATCAAAAGCTCTTGCCGGCGTGTACAAGCCCAGTCACCCTCTAGACCGAGACGCTGTTCTATCCATTTCTCTGTCGGCAAGGACAGAGGAAAGCAGCAGAGTTTACATACCTGCACTGCAGTTCCAACTTCCGAGGAAGCTTCTCGCTATCTCTCTATTGCAGCAGCAGAAGAAGAAGAAGAAGAAGAAGAAGGGAGCCATGTCAGAGACTCAGTGCTGTCAGAACCCTCCGACGCCGAGCTCCACGAGCGTCGGAATCGGATGTGTCGCGGAGATCGGCGGCCTGAAAGCTTACATCACCGGCCCCCCTGATTCCAACCTCGCCGTCCTCCTCGTATCCGACGTTTTCGGTACGATTTACTTTCATGGTTTCTCGGTCTGCGCAAATTTTTCTCTCCATTTCCGAATCAGCCCTTGTCTTTGTGGTTGTTCCAGTTCTATCTAGATAAAAATCTGGTTTTTTTTTTTTTTGGGGGGTTGGGAACTGGGAAGAGCGTTCCTTTTACGGATTCGATTGCTTCAAGAAGAATCTGGGACTTCTTTTGGGTCTCGGTACCGTCATGCCTCTGCATAAAGTTTGTTAATTTGTTGCGAGAAAACTTGAGCTAAGCATGTGTTGCAGAAACCCACATTTCTTGTGTCTTTGGGCAATGAGCGGGGTGAGTGGAGAAGATATGGAAGAAAGGAGGATTATTTCATCCTTTGTCCTCCTCACTCTACTCTGTGAATGTTCTCTGCTCTGGCCAGACAAGCTCACGCATGCTCCGCTTTTAGCGGAGTTTGAGGTTGTATTTCTCTGGCTTGATTCTGATATAACTCAATCTATGTTGACTTTTGTGCAGGTTATGAAGCACCAAAGCTGAGGTAAGCTGTCATCTTATCCCATCCCACTGGCTGGAATTAGAGAACAATCCCTCTCCATAACTCCAATTGTTCAGCTTAGTCTTTAGTCTTGACTAGTATGTTTGTTCTTGTCCGTGTTTGCACTTAGATAATTGGTGCCGATCTCTCTGGGTAATTTCTCTGCACGTTAGATGATGATGATATCTAAAGGGGATGCCAGTGTTTCATGAAATTGCGTCGCCTGAGATGCTTTTACGCGAGATGTTATGATCCTTTTCTGAGTTCAGAGTTTGTCCTGACAATATAATTTCATTATCCTTCTTGTGTGAAGCTTTTAGCTTATACTTCTTTTAGATGCCGTCTATTGCTTATGTGCAGTTTTCTGGATTTTCTCATTGATAGATCTGCATCATCACTGGATTCTGCGCTGTGGTGGCATTTTCTTTATCAAAAATAGCATTTTAATCTGCATTTGTTAGCTTTTCAAATTTTGCAAGTGACAGCATATTGAGTGTTATTTTGCTGCATATAGCGGTGCTCAACATGCCAATGATTCTTTACATACTATAAAAACTTAACCGTGTATTCTTGTGATTTCAAGGAAGCTTGCAGACAAGGTGGCCTCTTCTGGATTCTATGTGGTGGTTCCAGACTTCTTTTATGGAGATCCCTATGTACCTGACAATCCTGAGAGGCCTATTGCAGTCTGGAGACAATCTCATGGAACTGTATGCTTTAATTTTCAGTTCAAGTCCCTATCTGTTTAAGGGACTTCTTATACCTTATGAGACATTTATGTTTTCCATTGAGTGTTTTTCCTACTTATAAATTAGTGGTTTTCTTGGGTTTCACTTTTCTTGATCTACATATGGATTGTACTAATATTCTTTCTTCTGGAAGAGAGCTGACCCTGAGAGTTCTGCTATGGAAGTATCTTTGTCATATTTTTTGCTGTTCTTGTATAGGATAAAGGATCTGAAGATGCTATAAGAGTTGTTTCTGCATTGAGAAATGAAGGTGTATCTGCCATTGGAGCTGCAGGATTTTGCTGGGGTGGTGAGTCTTCTTGTTGCCTTGTTCCACAATTTTTATCCTGATATAGTCCTCAAAGTATTCTGGATAAAACTCTTAACTTTGATGTTTGATTATCAGCAAAGGTGGTTGTGGAACTAGGGAAGTCTGATCACATTCAAGCTGCGGTGCTGCTACACCCTTCACGAGTCACAGTGGATGATATTAAGGGTAGGTAAAGCTGAGCAAAGAAGCAGAATCCACATTTTCGGTGAATTAGCCTAAAGTGGTCCATGCATTTCTGCTCTTGGGTACTCTCTTGGATGAAACAAAGATGTGTCTATTGTTAAACAAATTAGATTGGCCTGACATGTGTGATCTTATCCTATTGATTTACATATGGTAATCTCGGACATAATTGTTCAGAAACAAAGATGTCTCTGTTGTTAATAGAACTAGATTGGCCTGACATATGTGATCATATCCTATTTATTTACATATGGTTATCTCAGACATAATTGTTCAGGTGACTAGTTGAGAGCACTCGTTTTGTGTCTGAAGAACTGAAGCTTATGGAGAAGTAGATAGTAGCTTTACCTAGAGGCCAGAGAATCTTAAGATGGGGAAACAACTTTCCGCCTTCATTTTTACAATAACTAACTTTCAGCAGTTTTCTCATAAAAGGTCTTGATTTTATTATGTAAGTGCATGTAGTTATGAACTTTGGTCTCAAAAGTTTGGCAGTGAAATTGACATTATGTTTTGCTTTACATTGACCAAGAGAACCAGCTAATACTTCATTGCTTGTATAGTAAGTGTTAGCTTTCTTCATTCAATTATAAGATGTACTGCTAGGGTCTCCAGTTATTGCCACAGACAAGCTCATGTGACAGATTTATAATGATGCTGCATATGGGAATCAGAGAATGAGCAATTTCACATGACCACTTAGAAGTTATGTAATTGGTGATCTAACACTGTTATTTTCAGAGGTCAAGGCTCCCATTGCTGTATTGGGTGCTGAGTACGACAAAATGTCTCCACCAGAGCTTCTCAAGCAGTTTGAGGAAATCTTATCTGCTAAACCCGAAGTAAACATCTCCATCTCCGCTGTTAATGCATGTGTTTGCACCCCAAGTACTATCTCTTATGCTTTGACCTTTGAGATCACTTCCTTGATCTCGTATGCTTTTGGTGCCCTTCACGAAATGGAGTTTAGCAGTAAAAGTGCACACGTGAACTGGGAAATTGCTCTTCATGGATCATAAATGGACATGACTCTTTGTTACCTTCTGCAGGTTGATGCGTATGTGAAGATTTTTGCTGGGGTTGAGCATGGTTGGACTGTGAGGTATAAAGAGGAAGATGAAGCAGTGGTGAAGTCCGCTGAAGAAGCCCATAAGGACATGCTGGACTGGTTCACTAAGCACTTGAAGTGAAGATGAACTTGGTCACCTTCTGCTGCGTCTCCATATCCAAGGAAGAGAATGACAAAGCACGATCGTTCCTAGCAGTAGCGGCCTATCATCTGATGGAGTCGATGCTGATTAGGAAACGTATTCCTTATGCAGATGTAATTCAGCTTAAATATAACAGAGCTTCCCCTTTCGTGTCTAGAGATAAACGGAAGAGCTTTTTGGGGTTCTTTGAGTTTGCGTGGGGGGTTTGCCCGCTCTCTTGTACATAGCATGTAGTGCCTGGGTCAACTAAAACCTGGATATTTTCCTTGCATAGGGTATCTGTGAGCTTATTAATTTACAGGTTGCGGTAATACTTGCTCAATGTCGATAAGCACCCAAAGATTACCAACATGCTCGAAACTGGGTTGTTGGTCCAACCACACACCGCGAGGTTTAAAGGATACTAGGTTGACTCACCTTTAAGATAATTCACTTAAGAATTTGTATGGCGAGAAGCGTTTTTCAAGTGAAGCAGACGTATACAATCACGTTGGCCAGCCAGATAGGGAAATTCACCGACGTAATCTTCATAAAATGTCCAGGATTGACCGTGATGCAAAAATTTTCACCTTGAATTATCCCTGAATTTGAATTAATAGAAGGACAATATTGAACATTTTCTTATAATTTAGGGATTAATTTGAACATGTATCAAAAGTTCAAGAGCTATATTGAACAAATTAAAAGTTTAAGAACAACATTGCATATTGAGTTGAAGTTCGGGGATCACATTGAACAAATTGAAAATTTAGAGACTATAATGCATATTGAGCCAAAATTCATGAATCATTTGTGTCATTATCCAAAAAAAAGAAAAGAAAAACAAAAGCAAATCAGGTTCCATACAACTACAACTTGCGAGAAAGAAATAGAATATAAAAAAGAAAATAAATAGAATTTAAAAACAAAAAATATTAATATACTGCCCGCGGGTATTATTGGACTCACAAATTGACAAAGCGCGCCAACTGGGACGGACTAGTCCCCTGTCAAAAAACAAAGAATATCTGATAACGGCAGCTATTTGATGGGCATTGACCTAGCTCATTAACATATCATTCATTCTTCAAAAAGCAAATAAAAAGCGTTCCATTATTCCCAACTATATTTGCAAAAGAACTAGAAAGAGTTTTAGTTTAGATCATCTCAATATATATAAAGCGAGATTATTACCAAAGAGATATGTCTTGGGTTGCTTTGATAGTATGGAAAATGACACAAATGGTTCATAAAATTTGGCTAAATGTATAATGTGGTCCTTAAACTTTTAATTTATTCGACGTAGTCTCTTAACTTTACTCAATATGCAATGTCGTCCCTGAATTTTTAATTTGTTCAATATGATCCACGGATTTTTGGTACATGTTCTGTTTAATCCCTGGACTATATAAAAATGCTTAATGTTATCCCTGAACTTGAATTAATGCAATGACAATATTGAACATTTTCATATACTACATGGACTAAATTAAATATGTACCAAAAGTTCAGGGACCACATTGAACAAATTAAAAATTCAAAGACCACATTGTAAATTGGATCAAAGTTCAATGACCAATTATATATCATTATCCCTTAACAGTAAAGGCATTCCCTAAACATACCTCGCCAAATGTAGGTCAAGAGAGCGAATTCCCCTACTCGAGTAATCACGAAAGTAATTTTCTCACCACTTCCTTTGCCATCATCTTTTACCCATAAAGATGATCCCTGCACAAAGTTCATAGGAATATATAAATGTCACACATCTTGCAAAAATGGATAAACAAAATACTGGGAAAAAAAGAATAAAAGAAATCGAACAAACAATGCTCCACAGCATGTAGCACAACACTTCCATTACTGACCATCGATATATAGCACAAAATTACGGTATTTTTTTTTTTACAAAATTATGGTATTTAATATTAATCTCTCCTGCATTGTTTTCTGAAGAACAGTCAAAAGTCAACGGGAGGGGTTTTAAAGATAAAGTCCAAGCGTGAAAAGGGTTGGAGATCAAGAGCTTTCTCGTGGACACAAGCTTTATAAAGTCTTAAAGGCATTCATGGACATCTTGTGAAGTTCTTGAGTTGGGTCCTCCCTCCTCTAGTAGATTAAACCACCAGCTGTCTGATAAATGATCTCATTCAATAAAAAGAAATGAATAAAACAATGAATCCAACTCATAGAATCTCAAAAAAAGAAAAAAAGAAAAAAAAAAGAAGTTATTCGATTGAATAAAACCGCAAAAATATCATTACACGGTTGATGTTAGATAGACGACACGTTTGCTTAAGAGTTATTTACATGAATGAAATTTCATGAGTATCACTGATTCGACGGGGATTATATAATCAATAAACTTACTTACAACTCCGTCATTTTCTCCTCTTCACTTTAATTATTAAAAAGAAAGTTTGTCTTAAAATTTGTTCCCTTGAAAGACTTTATAAGAATGGTCACAGGAAATATTTATTTTTTTGGTGGGGTCGAAGTCCCGATTAGTCATGTGGTGTGAGCCCCCACTGACACTTGACTGCCCATAGTTCTTTTCAAGAGGGTTAAGCATTGAGTATTAACTCTTTTTTCTCTTTATCATCGTTAGTTTTTAGGCCTAATTCTTTTACAACAAAACCCAACTTTAGTTCCAATTTCAATTATGCCCCAAGCTTTTTTTTGTTTAAAAAAAATCACCAACTTTCATTCTAATCCCGAATCTACCCTGCATGCAAAAATAGCCGCTGATTTCTTCAATATTATCAATTTTAGGAGGTCGTTGATGTATCAAACAAAGGTAAGGGTGCTGTGAAGACACAAGTTCAGATAATGAACCTCTAATTAGCCCTAATGTAAATAATTTTGAAAAAAACCGATTGAGATTTTGTCACGTGGGAGCAGATTTGGAATTATAGTGAAAGTTCATAGACCAAAAAAAAAAAAAACTGGGCGGAATTGGACCTAAAGTTTGGAGATTTTTCAGGGAATTAAACCCCAATTTTTAACTCTCATTTTAATTAGAGTTAACCTACTTCACTGTTGACTAGGAAAAATGTTGGACCAATTACTTTGTACTGAGGTCTCAATACCTTTTCTTGTTCTGCTCTACAATACAAAGATGGTTATGTTGGAGGTGACTTGTACTTTTAACCACAACTTTCCTCGGAAGTTGAGGGTGTTTGATGCATGGTGCTTTTGGTCTGCAATAATGTTCGTAAATTTAAAGAGTTAGATAAAATTTGAAAACTAAAAAACAAGATTGAAACCAAATAAATCACCACCACCCCAAATGCCCAAGTTGACCTGCTTCTTAAGGTTCTATGGGGTTTGGCCCATATTGTAAGCCATAACTGTTTTCCCCATCTATCAGTACGCAAAAATACATCAGAATGACAAGTTCCTCATAACTACATTCCTTACGGAATTAATTTGGCCATGTAGAACAAGTTCATCATCCATTTTACAAATATAAGCTGTAGACTTTTGTCTTCTGAGTCTTGGATTAAGCTCCAATTCAAATGTTTCCAGAACTATAGAGAAATTGCTCCGACAAGGAATCACGGGAATGCTTAGTCCCTCCTGTGAGGGCAAATCAGATCCTTCCGACAGTGAATCAACCCCGAGACAGATGTTGAATACAAAACATGAATGAAAAAAACATGACACATTTGATCAAGAAACGATGGACAGATGCAAAATTCTAATCGTCGGCCTTCCTCCATGTTTAGTTTCACAAATGCAGGGACTGATTGAGCTATATCAGCAACAAGTTCAGCTTCTGGAGACCCAGGCTCCAAAGCTCAGAATAATTATGGTCCCAATGGTTGGGTACACCTCAAGGTAATGCTGCCCCTAGTTTGTACCTAACATCGTACTTGAGAACCGAATGACTCTGTAACAGGTTAGTAGAACTCAGAAATGAACTAAAAAATAGGACCCAGCAATATCTTGGTGGAGAAAATGGGCATATTGGCAAAATCTATCAACATATTATTCCCATCAAATTGAAAGGAAGTTGTCAAATGCTCCTTAGTGACAACTGATTTACATTTTATGCATAACATCATTTGTGTTGAACCTTAGAGTTCATTGTCTTGGATAAACTTGGATGCTCCAAATATAACTGAACATTCAAAGGTTCACTACTCATTGACTTGATGGGGGCTATAAGTGGAGGCTGCTGCCACTGCTTTGTATCAGTCGGGATCCACAAGGCAGCTGTGCTACCCATATCGGCCTGAGGAAGCATCTGAAAGTAAGCTATCATCTCCCACCTGCAATCTACTGCCATAATGGTCTTAGAAGAACAGTCCCCAACCAATGGAGCACCAAGAACCAAGAAACATAGACTTCATAAGAAACAAGGAAGCTGAGCTCCAAAGATGATTCGACGGTTTCAACACCTACAGTATATTTTCATCCTTGGCGATGCAACAAATGTAATCACACATATTCCAAAGCGAGCTAAAGGGTATCCTCCAACAAGACAAAAACTGCATTCAATACATGAACGACTTACCTTGAGAAAGAGCACTAGTCAGGGGTTGGGACACAGACAACTTGATCAAAAATGATCGAAGAGAAAATTCTAGGTCAGCATCTTCCACCTTTGAGCCGCATGACTGGCTTACTGAGAGCTTGAAAATGAATCTCTCCAGTGGGACATTCTGTGTGTCAAAGAATACAACAGCTACTCTGTCTATGAGTCCCTGCTTTCCATTCAAAGAGCTCGTTTTTGTAAAAAGGCTCCAAACACTGGCAAGTGTTCGTTAAGCAATTCTATTCACATGGAAATTGGAATACAAGTTACAAACCTTTTCAATGAAAGGTCGAAGCCCTGATACAGACATATGGATATAATTCCTGAGTTGAGGATGCCGAGCTCTATGGACAACCAAATTCAAATATCTCCTCCTCTCAAAGGCACCTCCAAAAAATTTGGCAAATCATAACATTAGTAGGTGAGGCAGAAAAGTAAATAGGTCAAAAGGATGAAAAACAAGCCTCCAAATATAGCAAAGTTGCTTCATCGAGCCTTGCCAAGCAGTCCTATTTCTTTGCCCATTCATAATTCAAGAAAAGTTACGGAAATTTTCTTACCAGAAGGATAGAGTCCCTTGAGGTAAACAATGGAAGTGATGGCAACCTCTAAAAATTCCACCAGAATTCGAGCAGTCTCACCTACAATTTTTTGTGAAAAAATAATACTAAGAACTAGTACAACCAGAAAAATTATCTTTTCACATGATAAATCAATAAATGCCAAGCAAATCACCTTGGGGAGATTGATTCTCTCTCCGATCCATAAGGATTCACTCTATGAAATGTCTCCTGCACTGGCTA